ATGTTAATTATGTTCGTAATTACTATAAACAGATGTGGTAGAAATTCATGTGACCTTTTACTGCAGAATGCATTTCTCACTCTTTCCACATTATTTTACTAATACAATGTTAAACCAGAGGAAAGTATTTCTGACACACTCCACATGTATGTGTGTACATGTTTAACATGAAACCATTTCTACCTCATATTTCAGCCAAAGGACCACCTATATGCCAGTACATTGACATGAAAGTGATGGTAACTGAGAAGTCTACCTTGAAACATACCCCTGGAAGACTGTGCTTACAGTGAACCTTTTTGACTAAACCTAGCTAAAGCCACCACTGAAGCCTAGGACTTAAATGGAGCACCGCATTTTTTATTCAGCACCTTTGTTAATGCAGTAGTATCCTGCTTTACAGCTACAAGTACATGACAGCCATACAGCAATTTATTTTACTACAGCCCAACCATCACCGTCTGTACACAAAACACTTTTACAATAAAATCACTATGGTTTTCATTAAGAGAAAGCCTACTCGAATTTCATTTCTTTGGACCTAATCTATAATTAGTGTGGACAGACAGGTGCAAACCCTTCTCCTCTACAGATGGCTACTGGAAATGGTGCAAAATAGCTCCTTCTGTTTAAACAACACACAGATAACCTGCTCTGCTCTTATCACTTACAATTACCTCCATTATACTGAACTAATGTTTACTTTAATAAAATGTCCACTGTTCTCTAAACGTTATTTGGAAACTTTGATATCGATGGCAGAAAAGAAAAAAAATGAAGATGGAAGTCATTGTCTTTCAGATGAAAATATTTTTGGGGGGAAAAAAAGCCTTTTAAAGGGCAGGATTTTTTTACTTTTGATTTTACATCTGCTGATCATTTTTCTTTATCCACAAACCCACACAGTATGCCACTTCCTGACATATTTATGCTACCATATATTAAACTAATCAAGTTTATAGTAAATAAGAACAGCATAACTCCCGATTTTAAAGCAGTTCTTTGAAAAGGAACATCTATGTGGAAAACTGAGACCCTTTAAAAGTTCAGGTTTTAAACCAACTCCTTTAGATCTTTCACATGAAAGAATGTGAAAATGTAATCTGTCAGCCAATGTTTTAAGAATTTACACTCTCACTACTTACGCTAAATTCAGTGTCAGTTCAAACTTTTATAAATATTATAGGTTGCTACTAAAGGCTGTATGAAAAAGAGCAGGCTGCTGCTAACTACATGGATCAAAGTTTTTTTAAAGTATTCAGACTAAATAATTTTCTTTTTACATTTCTTTAGCCAAGCCATGAGAAATAACCCCTTCACAACACCAAATTCACATTTTATTTCAGCTGATAAGGCTTTTTGATCTCTGCATGACAACTTAAGTTTCTACAAAGAAAACAAGAACAAGATCTTCCCCCCTCCAAAAAAAAAAATCTGAAGCTCCTGCAATAGCCAACATACTAATATCCTTATTCAATTAGCTAAAGATTTAACAGTAATGAACTGTGGCAAGTGGATTTGAATGATGAAAATGACAATTGCAAGCCCTTTCTCCCATCACCCCCAATGCAAATACTGCAGATGCCTATTTCACCCAAAGTGTCTGGCAACGAGGAGTTTGCAGTCTGCACAGTACCTCAGTGAAGCGAGCTTCGCATTCAACGCCTGTCGTCTGAAGTTCATTTCAGAGACGTGAGAAACAGGATTTGACAGGGAAGAATGTCCTGAACTGACTAGCCACTGACCAGCACTCCAGGTGGAGCTATTTTTCTCCCCTTTATTCTATAAACAATACTTCCAGTATAAAACTCCATGTGCGCGCAGGCATACATAGTGTTAAGCATATACAGATGAGAGACACCGTGTGATGTTTTACTGGTCCATTATTTAGGCACGAAACGAGTTAACGTTAAGGTGGTCAAAAATGGTAGAAGGCAATGTTTTACTTAAAAAGATTTTGGAAACTATTTAAAAGCTCAAAGCCTTTGAAGAAAAACAACTTGTGCAGCAGTTGCCAGGAAGCAGTGACCTAACGCTGCTGTCTGCATTCCATTACAAACAGAATGGTTCTTGTCTCCTACAGCATGCTCAGGGCTCGGGAACCCAGGCGCTCACCCTCCTGCAAACGCAGGGCCGAAGGAAGAAGTCCTGCCATCATCTCCTGTACGAGAGCCTCGCCTGGCTTCAGCGTGCCAGAGGCATGAACGGATTTAAGGGTGGGTTGGGTTTTTGATGGGGTTTGGAGCTTTCTTGCGCTGATGCGTGGTTGCGCTGCCCATGACAGCAAAGAAAAATGACTCATGAACTGAAAGTAGTAGCAATTACGTTGAAGGTTCAGAGATGAGAAAACTGACCTTAGAAAAGTTATCAATTACCAAATGAAGTGTAACTTCCTAATTACAAACCTTCACAGCAAGTCTGCAGCGCATCTCACACCTAACAAAGCCATTGCCAACTTCATGTTTTCATAGACTGTACAGTTATGAATAAGCCATATTCAGATCTTTTTTCCTAGCACTTCTTCTATTGATGGGGAGCCGCAGAAACACCTAGTGCTAAAACCAGAACGTACAAACAAGACAGACTAACTTTTTTAACATTCAGCCGAGCTGAAGGAAATTCCCTGATCATATTGGATTTCCTAAGGAAATCAGCCCAGAATAAACTGAATGGGGTTTTCAGACTTCCCGTGGAAAGGTCAAGCATCAGCTTTAACAACCATTAGAAACCAGTTTCAATTCTCTCGGCTATCCAGATTCACTAAACCGTTAAAAGAAAAGCAGAACAGAAAACCTGGACAATAGAATTAAAATCTAAAAATGTCTTCCACGCCTTGCCTCAAACTACACTTAACAAAGTTGCTTATTTAAACTTTCCATTGCATCTGTCAGGATGCAGAAATAGAGAAGGAAATGTAAGGCTACAAGGGTATAATTAAATAAATTATATTCACCCTTAGCCCTAACATACTGTGTTTACAAATACAATAATTATGTTTCTAGCTACATGTCAAAAGAAAGTATTTTCCAAGTCCTTCAAAAAGCATGCAAGCATCACTGTAAGTAGGAAATAAGTCAAAACAGATTAGTAGACCAAAAACGGGGGGGGGGGGGGGGGGAATCCTGCTTTGGTCAGCAACTCGGACCACCATCAGGGGATAAATCAATTTGCAGCATCTGTGGACAGCCATTTAAGTCTGGGGCCTGAACAGATTAATTAGGGGAAGCGATGTTAAAAGTTAAAGGGGTCAGCGTTACATTAAGCACACGAATGTTCGCCGGAGCAAAGGCTTGGCTGTGCATACCACGACTCGGAACCCATCCTCTGGGTTAGTCAGGGCTATCTAAGCCTACAGCCAAACGCTCGGCACTCGCCGCGTCCCCACGGACAGCACGGCAGCTCCCGCAGACTGCTTTCAAGAGGCACCTACCGCTCTCCGCCCAGCCCCCGCTATGCCATGCCCGCCACCGGCGCCCCGCTTCGCCCGCGGAGGCGAGCGCGCAGCGCTGCGCACCGCGCCGTGCGAGCGCGCCTCGGAGACGGAGCGCCGGAGCGGGGGCAGCCGCTGCCAGCCCTGCCGCGCTTGGCAACGGGAAACTTGAGCAGCTCTTCAGGGAAGACGGGCTATCGCGGGCTCAGCGGGGCGCAGTCCGCGGCGGAGCGCTCTGCGGGCAGGAGCTGCCGGCTCCAGGGCGGCCCGACCGGGAGGCTTGCGGGAGACGGGTCCTTGCCGTGCCGTGCCTCGGGGCAAGGCAGCGGCAGGAGGGGGGGGGCTGGCAGAGCCTGCTGCGGATCTGGAGATCGGGGGCTGCTCTCCCAGAGAAGCCCGAGCGGCTGCGAGGCGGCCGTTCCCCGCCGCGGCGGTGGCGGGGAGCTGCCGGCTGCGGCCGGGCAGGGCGGTCCCGCCGCGCCGGCTGCAACCTGGGGGGGCAGGCGGGGGAGGCTGCCTCGGCGCCGCTCACCTTCGCTCGCCCTCCCTCTTTTGAACTGCTCAGTGAACTGAAGGAGGTAACGGTTTAGCTCCTGGCTGGAGCGAGAGGGATTTGGGCGCTGCGACCGAGGAGTTACTTTCAGTTTCTCTCTACCCTTTAGGAGAGCAGAGTCCAGGAACAACACAGAAATTTCTCTATCAATTACCGTGTAACGGAGTGGCGGGTGCCCCCGCTAGGGTAGCGAGTCCTTCCCTACCCTAAACTCAATTCTAGCCCAATCTTGCAACTTTGGCGCTAACAAAAGGACTCGAACTCGCCCAAAGTCAAAGGCTCGTCTAAATGGCTGGGAGTGTGGTCTTCATCCTTCCGATCCCCCTTCTCGATGCTCTGTTACGAATTTAGGGAATCAAACCGTTCGGCTCAGCTAGACGAGCTGACACAAGTACATTGTGCTGCAGTTTTGGAAATGCAATCCCTAACGTTGCCCTATCGTTTTAGGAAACGAGGTACTCGCAAGATCGCGGTGCAGCTAAAGACGACGTGCACCGCCCGAAATATTTCTTGCAAAACAGCCTGAAGTGATGTTGCCAGTGCTACATAATCCGATGATCGTAACGAAACAGCCCAAACCAAAATCCCACCAGAAATATTTCAGACACTCCGACTCACATTGGCTAGCTGTGATCTGGAAAGAGGGGAGGCAGGAAAGAAGAAGGAGGGAAAAAAAAAAAAAAAAGCCAAGTCCTAAATCGAGACAGAAACGCAACGCTATGGAAGACCGTGTGCTTGGGAGGGCTATTTTCTGCAAAACCGGGTCGTTTGGTTTCTGGGCTCTTGAGAAATACCCGGGGTGCGAGTTTGCGAGCCGGGGACAGCGGGTGCAAGAGCTGCATGCAGTGCTAACCTCGCCCGGGCACAGCGGCAGCCCCGGTCCGCCTGGGTTAGTTACAGCCACGGGAGCCCCTCCGAGCCAGGAGAGCTCTACGGGGAAGGAGAAAGGGGAAGAAAAAAGGGGCTCGGGCTCCCCCCGCCCCAGCGCGCCCTGCCCTGCCCGCGCCCCGTACTCACACTGCAAAGGACCGGAGATTCCCACCATTCGCCACGGGCTGCGAGCTGCAAATAAAAGTTCCCGTCCTGCTCGGGGGAGAGCCGGCAGCCCAGGCTGCTGGAGGGGCGAGGGGGTGGGAAAGGGGAGAGCAGCGCAGCGCGGCTTCCCTTCCCAGTCCAGATGATCCACGTCCACAAAAGTCAAAACGAGCTGAGGAGAAACTCCAGCTGCTCTTCCCCCCCCTCCTCTCTCTCGCTCTTTTTTTTTTTTTTAAAGGAGGATCAGCTCGAGAGAGACTACTGGTTCCACGGGAAAGGACAAGAACCAAAAATAAAGCAAAGTCTCCAAGTCGAGATAGTTAATGCCCCGGTCCTTCTCCTCGCTGCTGCCGCCGCCGCCGCCGCAGACAGACGTGATGTGGAGCGCAGGGAGCGGCCGCTGTCAGTGGCGGGGTCTCTGCGTGTCCCCGGGCAGCCGACGCATCGCTCTGCCCCCGGCGAAGCCGAGCCGCGCCGGTGCC